ATTATTTTTAATTTTTAGCAGAGCATGTGTTAGGAAGGTGATCATGCGGTTGTGTGTAGGAGGGCCTGGCATCACACTGGATTTGATTCAAGTCTGTGTGAAGATGTGGTCTCTTTTTGTCATTTCCAGTGCAGCTTCTGGCATAGCACTGGTGTCCTTCAACCTCCTCTTCATCATTAACATGTGCCACACAGAGGACACAGGGCCAGAATCTGAGGTCAGCACACAGAGTCAGTTGTACAAAACATGGTGTCCCTAGATGAAAACAACCTTTTTTTTTAAATTTCTAGCCTTCTCTTCACTCTCTGTGAGCTTTATTGCCATCATATATATATTTGGCAAAATAAAAAGTTATAGGGTCAAATTTCTACCTGCTGTAATAAAGTATATAAATTCAAAATATTGGACTTTTTTCTTCACTGTAATAGAGATTTAAAAGGAAGCACTAACATCAAAAGCTTTTAAAAGTTTTTAACTGTTTATAGGTATAACAATGGTTAATAAAATTATATCAATTCCAATTGCAAAATGTTATAGTAAGAAATTTGTATCTTGTATTTATTACTCAAAGCACAATCTTTAAAGGTTTTGTGAAAGTTAAATGTTGTATGATATGTTTAAAAAGAGTAATTTTATTTTATATACCATATTTAAAACTTAATGAAGAAATAATGGCCTTGACTGCAACATTAGATCAATTTGCCTTTATAGACATTTATAAAGCATTTACTGCTGCCTATGTGGAAGCCAGGTGACTACCACCACCGTCATGGGCCTGGATGACTCACTAAGAGGAAGGAGGAGGCACCTCACAGAGGAGGGCAGCAGAGCTCAGAGAGTTAGCAGTCCCCAGAAAGACTTAACTTAGTGGGGGCACTGAACTACCCTGAAGGGATTTTGAAAGTGCCCAGCACCTAGGATAGTAAAATGGGAGTAGCTGGTGTATAAGTTGCCCCTAATTAGAACACTTCAGTGAGGGCACACTGGTGGGTGAAAGTCACCAGCCTGGTGCAGATGGACAGTCGTGGTCCAGCAGCAAGCACATGAAGGAATGGGCTGGAGGCAGGGCAACTGTGACTATTGCTGCCCAGACCTGGCCCCCATCCTTGTGAAACCATAGGAAGGGAGAAAAGCAAAGCCTGACCTCCCTCATTCTGTGGCATCCAGGAATACCAGCAGAACTCCCTTGTCAGGTTTCAAGACAGGACGAGGCTTTTTTTATCCCAAGTGAGGCAATAAGACCTGTGTTGGGAACTGTTCTGCCTGATTTCAGGAATTGCAATAGTTTAAGGCTGAATGTGCGACCTCCAGAATGCGAGCCACTGAGGAGATAAGGCAGCAGATGCTGCCCCTGCTTCATCAGCCTGTCCCCAAAGCATGATGGAAAGTAAGTGACCTCTAGGACCCCCCGGGGGGACAACCTAAGCCAGACTCAATCACTTGGGAGCCCATCATGGCAGGACTGGGGGGGGTGTTGCAACAAGGAAGGAGTGATCTCTCACTGCCCCTCCATCCCCCCTGCTATAACATGGCCCAGTCTCCATGTCCTCTGGGAGAAGTGCTTCCTGGCTCTAATCCACTTAAGCCTGAATACCTGTGATGGAAAAATGGTGCAAACTTTCACCAGCTAGCACCAGACCTGGGTAATCTGGCAAGATAAAGAATTCTTAACAAACCTGTGAGATCTGCTCTGCTAAGAATGCTTTTAGTTAAACGTTTTTATTTTCCCATAGTTTTATAGCCTTTTAGTTGATAGACCTCGATTTAAGGACAAGCCCTAATGGTTTTTTATATACTATCTGCTGTTTACTCTCTATCCATGATTAATAAGCTTGTACCTGAATGCCTGAATAAAAGCCTGTAAAGGCAAAAGGTATGTGGCATTCTCCCATAGAGAGAGTGTACTGCCCTTTTTCTCCACAGGACTCAGTACTCCGTGTGAATTTGTCTTATCATCCATAACTATGTGGGCACTGCTGGTCAGTGCATGTGTCAGACCTGGAGCTGTGAAAGATCCAGAGACAGAGTGAAAGAGGGATTACATGGCTAACCCCAACACCGAGAAATTAAGACAAATGTGCTTTGCTTTTCTAGACAACTTGCATGTTATTGTTTATTTGTGCCGATTTCCCCTTCACTATGCTTGTTGTGCAGTCAAACATGGTTGTGTTCTCAACTCTTGGGGGTACAGTGTGTTCTTGCTGTTGTCTCTGGAGACAGTGAATAATCTCTTCATAGAGTTGGCATAGTATATGGTACTTCCATCAGAATTCATTTAGTAGCCCTGGCTGGTGTATCTCAGTGGATTGAGCATGGGCCTGCAAACCAAGGGATCATGGTTCGATTCCCAATCAGGGCACATGCCTGGGTTGCAGGCCACTTCCCACTGGGGGACACACAAGAGGCAACCACACATTGATATTTCTCTCCATCTCTCCTTCCCTTTCCATCTAAAGGTAAATGAATAAAATCTTTTTAAAAAGAATTCATTCAACAAACTCATTCCAGCCCCTTGTCTGGTTCCTACATATGTATCCCCTATGTTGATCTTGTCATTACCATGTGTTATCACAGTTGAAACTTGCATCAAGAGAACATCCTTCTAAGCAAATGTTCACAGTGATCTGATGACTCAATTAAATCTCTATTATTAGAGTAATGGATGTCACAAATGTTCTGACATGAAGGCACATGCAGTTGTTTTTCATCCAAGATCATGATGGAGAAAAATCATTTGCCAGATCCATCACTGTATTATCTGAATGAACCCTGGGTTGCAGTGTGCCCTCTGGTGGTCACAGCACTTCCTGAAAGGAGGTTTCTGTCTGGGCTCACACTGACTTCTCCTATCAGTGTATCTTGCACAGTAATGCATGGTCCTGTCCTTGGCTCTCAGGTTGTTTATTTGCACGTAGAGCTCATTCTTCACTTTGTCTCTGGAGATGGTTAATCGGCCCTTCACACAGTTGGCAAAACGTATGCTACTACCACTACTATTAACATATGAGATCCACTCCAGGTTCTTTCTGGAAGCCTGGCAGACCAGTTCATATAGTATCTGATGAAGATGAATCCAGAGGCCAAGCAGAAGAGTCTCAGAGATCCTCCATGCTGCACCAACCTACCCCAGACTCCACCAGCTGCACGTCACACTGAATACCTGCAAACAAAAGGATGTTGATTAGGAAACTGTCAACTGTCCCCTGTTTCTCTCAGTCATATCCACTCACATACTCATGTCTCTAATTCCTCATAAATTACCTCTTAAAATAGCAACAAGGAAAACCCAGCTGAACTCAAACTCCATGGTGAGTGGCCTGTGTTCTGTCCTGAGCAGAGAATGGCAACAGCTGGGAATCCCCGGGCCTGGGCTCCTGTACCAGAGCTACAGAGTTGGAGGTAGAGTGATTTTCATGAGCTGAGGGCCCCTCTTCATTTCCTCCTGCTATGGAAAGCTCTGAGGTTGGACACTGACATGAAGGACATGGCCACAAAGTGTGACTTCTCAAAGGTAAATATCCATTAGGAATTACTCCCAGCCCTGGCCACAGGCACACCCAGCCTTTCTCTGACTGCTTTCTGGCCACAGCTGCTCATGGGCTTGTCCAGCACGATGCTCTTCAGCTCATGGGGCCGCCTGGAGATTCTCCCTGCACATGTGTGATTTCTTGCAGGTGCTTTGAGGTCACTAATCAACTATGTCCCCACCTGACACAAGCCAGCCCTGCAGTTGAGTCTGAGTGACCTGGAAACACATGTGTGCACTGAACATGGACTCAGATGGTGGCCGATGTGAACTTCAGGTCACCTAAGTGTATCTGGCCCTTGGTTCTCATGGAGGTATTGACATAGGACAGGAACATGAGGGGATGAGGGTGTTTGTGTTTAAGACAAACTGTACCAGGGCTGGAAAGGAGAGAGGAAACCCAGCTCCATGGGGCTTCATGCCTAGGACAGATTTAGTGAGTGAGTGGATAGTAGAGGACATGGGTTGATGACGAGGCGGGTTTCTGGGGATCCTGGGTGAACAGGGTGGGAGGGGATCACGTCCACATCCATATGGTTCTCGTGATCCACGTGGGTTCTGCATGTGAAGTCAAGACCCTTGTAGGTCTCATCCCCCAGGACCACGTTTAGAAACCTTCTCAAAATGCTTCCTAGCAGACTTGTGACAGAGGTTCCACCTCTGTGCTGGCTTCCTGCCTCTGTGTCAGGGGCACAGAGAGCTGCGTCTGTTCCCAGGTTCAGTGTTCCTCCATCCAGGACACTGATGGCAGTGACAGAAGGGATCGAAACCTGAGTATCAAAATCCAGCCTTGTGGGGTAGAGGCAAGTGGCTCACTGGCCCCAAAGAAGACAGATTTTCACAGGACAGAAAGCATGGATGCAGCTGACAATTCTAACATGGGATGGTCTGCACTATGTGAAGATCAGACTGTGACTCAGCACATACATTCAGAATCGCTGCCTCATCTCTGCACTGGAGTGTGGGAGAATCCACCTCAGTCAGGGCACAGTGAGAATTCCTAACATGTGTTGTCAGCCAGGAAAAGCAGACTGTATGGTGATAGGTTGACAATAAGGCTCAGATGAGAAGGCAACTACAGTTACTTCCTATGTTCTTGCCTGCACAGAATGTAAGAAATTCAAAACATATTAAAGAAAGCAGAAATTGCCCCAGGAGGCAATAAGAGGGGTAGAAGCCGTTGACCACAAAAGGAAGCCCTTCTGCAATCACTCTAGGAACCAGCTTCTGAGCTGGCCCCTCCATTTAGTGACACTGATGTCTCTGCTGCTCCTGAGCACCTCCTAGTGTCTGGAGAGCTCCCTGGTGATACTGATGTTCCTTGTGCCCCTGAACACCTCTAAGGGACACTGATATTTATCCCTCCTGATATTCTTGAGCACCCCTGGTGTCCTGAGCTCCCCTTGAGACCAGCCCTCCTGTCTCCCTCAGGGAGGTTTGTGTTTGAGCTCACAGTGACTTCCCAGTTGACTTCATGTTTAGCCCCACCCTCTGCCACACCCTGTCACTGTTACCTAGTCCTCTCAGCGGACCCTCCCTGGGTAGGTTTTCTGTCACTATCTCCTTGGTAGCAAGTGGCCTTGGCAGATGTTTGGGGCCTGGCTTTTTTGAGGATCCTCCCTTTCTCCATTCCCACTGACAGTTGTCCCTGAGTGGAGACATGAGGTGGGCAGAGGGTTCAGTCACCCTGAGGATGCCCCTCTTGCTCCTTGGGCTCTGGGCGGTGCTGGCTCCAGCACAGCATTCTCAAGGGCGTCCCTCATGGCGCTACATCTCCTCCGAGGTGGTGATTCCAAGGAAGGAGCTGCATCATGGCAAAGGTATTCAGACACCAGGGTGGCTCTCCTACAGCCTGAGTTTTGGGGGCCAGAGACATGTCATCCACATGCGGCGCAAGAAACTGTTTTGGCCCCGACATCTGGTGATGATGACTCAGGATGACCAGGGAGCCTTGCAGGTGGACTACCCTTTTGTCCCTCTTGACTGTTACTACTTCGGCTACCTGGAGGAGGTTCCTTTCTCTACAGTCACCGTGGACACGTGCTATGGGGGCCTTATAGGTATGATGAAGTTGGACGACCTGGCTTTTGAAATCCAACCCCTCAAGGATTCCCAAAGGTTTGAACATGTAGTTTCTCAGATAGTGGCAGACACCAATGCCACAGGACCCACGTATACACTGAGGTACAAAGAAGAGAGACATCCCCTTTTCTCTCAAGTGAATGCCAGAGCAGACTCCAGGATCAGCAGTAAGATGTATTCAAGCCACCAAGGACATTTCAAAGGATGTCTTATAAGTGCCTATTCAGTTTATGTGCAGTACAAAAATGTGTCAAAATGTGCCAAATTCCTGGTAAGTCTAGGTAGTTTAATTGACTCTATGCTCCAAGGTATTGATATAAGGTACTACATCAGCTCCCTAATCATTTATACTGTGAGAGACCCCGTCGACATGTTCAACTATCAGGTGCCAGGGAGTCTGTATCATGACCATTACATACGTAACATTTATGGTCTACTTAAGCCACATACAACCTTAATTATGATTCAGCATGGGCCCAAAGATCATAGTTTTGAACCAGTCATATATGGTATATGCAAACCCACTAATCTCCTCATGATGGGTGTTCTGTCAAGACATTATTTTTTGTTATCCGTTTTAGCCACCCAATTAACTGCGAGAAGTTTTGGTTTATATTATGATGAGGAAGAATGTTATTGCCAGAGAAGGGCCACCTGCATCATGGACAGGTTCCCTCTGATGACAGATGCCTTCAGTAACTGTTCTATGGTGCATGCAGCAAATGTAGTTAATTATGACAGGAAGCACTGCAGCTACGAGAGTGACTTTCAGTATTTAAATAGAAGCCTGACAATGGGTCTGTGTGGAAACTCTGTGGTGGATGATGGAGAGCAGTGTGACTGTGGCTCCTTCAAGCAGTGTTACAGCAACCCCTGCTGCACAAGTGACTGCAGCTTTACACCTGGAAGTGCTTGTAACACAGGCAGGTGTTGTACAAACTGCACCTACTCACCCCCGGGGACACTCTGCAGGCCAATCCAGAACATATGTGACCTTCCAGAGTACTGCCTTGGGCGGACCTTCACATGCCCTGAAGATGTTTATCTGCAAGATGGAACCCCGTGTAGTGAAGACGGCTACTGCTATCATGGAAGTTGTACCGACCCCAGTGTGCACTGCAAGGAGATCTTTGGCGAAGGTGCAGTGAATGGTCCATATGCCTGCTACCTCATAAATAAAAAGGGAGACCGATTTGGACAGTGTACAAGTGATAAAAACGCCCAATCGAGTTGTGCTGACGCTAACATTCAGTGTGGACGCCTACAGTGTACTAATGTCACACATCTGCCTAGGTTGCAAGAACACGTTGGATTCCATCAGTCTGTAATACAGGGGTCCTTTTGTTTTGGTGTGGATTTACACCTTGGGTCATATGCAACTGATGTTGGTCATGTGAGACCTGGTACCCCCTGTGGTGGTGGGCATTTCTGTGACAACAGTGTATGCAATGGTTCTGTGGCTGCCATAAACTATGACTGCTACCCTTCCAAATGCAACCTCAGGGGAATTTGCAACAGTAAAAGGAACTGCCACTGCCATGTAGGCTGGGACCCTCCCCGGTGCATCCACAAAGGTGCTGGAGGGAGTGTCGACAGCGGACCCCCTCCAAGAACAATGAGGTCAGTGAGGCAAAGTGATATGTCTGTGGTATACTTGAGGGTGGTCTTTGGGCGCATGTATGCCTTCATAGCTGCCCTCCTTTTTGGAGTGGCCAGTAATGTGAAAATCATCAAGACCACTGTAGTCAAGGAATTGACAGGTGAAAACTAAGCAGCTTTCTGACCCCTATGCAACTATAGGCAACATAGAAGAAACATCTGTGAAAAGTCACCACAACCAGCTGTGGAGCCGAGGTCCACATTTCTCCATGTGCACAGGGGTCCTGCTGTACTTCACAGGGGAGTGAGAGGAGAGGGTATTTTCCCACCAGCTCTCCAAAATAAACCTTGAAAACCACGATGGTGTCTGCACACATTTTGTGAGCATTTCAGAACCCTCTTTGGGCCTGAAACTCCAGCCTGGGGAGGAGACCTGCTATGCAGCTGGTCTGAACCTGTGGCCACTCGTCCAAGGACTAGGGACAATTGCCACATATTCCTTCAGGGCCGCCTCCTGATAGGTCACTGAAGTCCTGCTCCTCATGACTGAGGTCATAGTCAGTCTGTAGGGAGCCTCTTCTTCTGTAACAATTCAGGTTCAAGGAGATGATATGCTTCTTTCAACCAACCTAGCATGCTCCCCCTTGGCCTGCCTGTGGGTGGTGAGGTGAGAGTGTGGCCCACTCACTGCCCAGTGACACTAGTGTCACCCTAGAGAGCACACTTCCCCACGCTGAGGCTGCCATCCTTTGGAAACATTGTGCTCAAAAGGAAGCAGTGTGGCTGTCAGTGCGTCTGACCCTCCATGGGAGACCATACCTGGTCATGCCCCTATTCCTCACCTGCACCTTTCAGAGAAGGGCAGGGCATGTGCAGGATGAACCATGCAAATGCCAGACACCATCTTCAAAACAGGCTTGGAGGGTTGGACAGCCAGTCTCCCTCGGTATCTAAAGAGTTTCCAACTCTTAAAGAGTTAAGAGTTTCTCGTTAACATTTAAAATTACATTATGTGCCCTGGCTGGTGTAGCTCAGTGGATTGAGCGCGGGCCTGTGAACCAGAGTATCGAGGTTCGATTCCCAGTCAGGGCACATGCCTGAGTTGCAGGCCAGTTCCCAGCAGGGGACAAATGAGAGGCAACCATACATTGATATTTCTCTTCCACTCTTTCTCCTTCCCTTCCCCTCTCTCAAAAAAATAAATAAATAAATAAATAAAATCACATTATGTCCTCCATTCAACACAGGGACATTCTATGGAATTTAAAAGCCAAAATTTTTACAAATGTAAGGACCAGAGGAGTCTGTGATGGACAGACACCTTCAGGAGCATAGGCGGGGGAGGGAGTTGAGACTCACAACTGCCCACATAATTTAAATTTCCCATATGAGACTACTCATGTGGGGGTAATGGAGAATCAATGTTCAGCAAGACAGCATTTGGCAGAGAAGATAGAGACTTGAGGAGTGGAGGTCTTGGGGGATGATCACAACCCCAGTGGGGCAAGGTTTGACTGCCCAAAGGAAGGAGGCATGTGAGGAGGTTGTGTGCATGTTGGGAGCCTGGAGCCTGAGCTCAGCACACAGGGGTCTGGGCAGAGCTGGATCCCTCTCTGTGGGAAACATTTCCAACCATGGGGAAGACAAGAGCTCTCAAGGTGGTTCATTGCCAAGGGAGAAAAAGGACAACAGGGGATGTTGTGAAAGAAAGGTCCCCAGGCACAGGGTAGAATCTCATCTGCAAACAGACAATATCACTTCTTCCTTTGTTGTCTGCACTGAGAGCCACACAGGCAAATCAGAGCCACATAGAAGGAACAAATGTCCCTGGATGCGGCTCAGTGTTTTGAGATGAATCCCTGCTCCCCCACCAGGCCCTCTCATGCCCCTGTGGCTTAGTCTCTGTGCTCTGGGTTCCCGAGGGCCCCCTGGTGTCCTGAGTACATCCTGCAGCCCTGCCCTCCTGTGTCCTTCAGCAAGATTAGTGTCTGAGCTCACACTGACTCTCTGTAACAGAGACTCTCTCACAGTACTACATGGCCGTGTCCTTGGCTCTCAGGCTGACCATTTGCAGGATCAGTGTGTTCTTGCCATCATCTCTGGAGATGGTGAATGTGCCTTTCACAGAGTTGGCATAGCATGTGATATTTCCATCAGTATTCATTCTACAAACCCACTCCAGCACCTTCCCTGGAGCCTGATGGACCAAGTGCTTAGGGGAGCTACTGAAGGAGAATTCAGCAGCCACACATTAGAGACTCAGAGACCCCCCAGGCTGCATGAAACCTCCACTAGACCCCACTAGCTGTACCTCACACTGGACACCTGCAAACACAGATGTAGTGTCAGGAGACTGGCACCTATCTGTTGTTCCTCTCAGCTGTATCCACTCACATACTCAGTGTCTCTTGTTCTCCATAAACTACATCTTAAAATAGCAACAAGAGAAACCCAGCTGAGCTTAAGCTCACGGTGAGTGGACTGTGTTTTGTCCTGACCCGGGACTGGCAACAGCTGGAAATCTTGGGCTAGGCTACAGTCCCAGAGCTGCAAGAGTTGGGGCTGCAGTGCTTTTCAAAAGCAGAGGGTCTGTGTTGGGAACTTCCCTGCCTGGCTGCAGAAGCTATAACCACCCCCCCCCCCATGGCTAAGGCTGTGTAAAAAGGCCTTAGGGACATACACCACTAAGAAGACAAAAAGGTATAGCTTCTCTCATATCCCCCCTGCTCAGTCCAGGCGGGTGACTGCTTAGCCAATGATGGGTAAGATTCCTCAAGGGAGGACAAACCTAACACAGGCAGAGCTCGGAAGGGACCATCAGGGTAGGGCTTAGGGGACTATATAAAAGGGGTGATGGACCTTCACCCCGAAGCTTTGTTATAGCCTGAGTCCTCTTTCCACTACTGGAAGTATCCTACTATCTCAGCTACTTTCTTTCTCTGGCCTGACTCGAGCCTGAATAAATACCAGATAAAGGAGGCACAGCCCTATACTATCACAGGCAGCTCCAAGGGACAATCAGGCTGAAAAAAGAATGCATGAAGCCCTGTGAGTCCTGCTTAGCCCTGTGAGGGTATTTGAGAATACCCTCAGGTTGATATGTGTTAGCTGTTTAGGCCTCAAGCATAAAATGAGTATCTTTCCCAAAGTTTTGTGACCCTTTGGTGTCACTCTGTCTGTCTGACCCAGACAGACAGAATAAGCCCTTCTAGTTCTTTGAATATCATCTACTCCTTTATCATTACTGCCTGACAATAATTGATGAGCTTTATGTATATGCCCTGTATTCCTGTGCAAACTAAACCAAATAAAAGCCCAGGGGAAAGAGGTGCTGGAGACCATTCTCCTCCAAGAGACTGTCCAGCCTTTTCTCCCCAAGCAGGTCATGTCTTGGTAGACTTATTCTCATCCGCATCGGCCAGGAGAGCTCTTTCGGTTGGAGTTCACCCACAGGTCCCTATTTTCTTTCTTTTTTTCTTTAAATTTTTTATTGATTATGCTGTTACAGTTGTTCTATTCCCCCTTTCATTCCCCTCCACCCTACCCACCCATCCCCACCATTAACCCCCCATTTAGTTTATGACCATGTGTCTCAAGTCCTTTAGATTCTATATTTCCCATGCTATTCTTGCCCCCCTCTTCTATTTTCTATCTACTGTCTATGCTACTTATTTTCTGTACCTTCTCCCCCCTTCTCCTCCTCCCACTCCCCTGTTGCTAACCCTCCTTGAGATCTTCATTTCTATGTTTCCACTCCTGATCTAGCTGTCCTTTTAGTTTGCTTTTGTTTTAGGTGTGGTTGTTAATAACTGTGAATTTGTTGTCCTTTCACTGTTCATTTCTTTCTATTGTATAGGAAATCAGTCACCACAATTTTTGGCTCAAGGGACCAGTTTCATGAAAGATCACTTTTTCCATGTGTTGGGAGGGAGACAGGAGACAGAACTCAAGCAGTAATGCAAGTAGCACCCACAGACAGGGGAGGAAAGAAGTTGGGCACCCATGATTCAGGGAGCTCTGGGGGTTGGAGACCTGCAGAGAATTCTGTGCCTCTGTGTAGGTGAGTGTTCTAGGGAAGGTGGTCATGATAGCATTTCAATAACTGAGCACAGAATCCTGAGCAGGCATTGGGCATGTCCAGGACACAACATTGGTAACAGTGAGCCCGGAGTCTGGGCCTGTACCCTCTCCACTGGTACTACTGCTCCCCTGAAAGCAACCCAGGGAAGAGTGGAACATGCCCCATGGAGTTGTAGTGTCCCTTTTCACTAATGGAGCATGGATGTGTGTCTGTATCTAGTTTTGTCTACACTCCAGGGATGGAGGCAAGTGCACACCTGGGACAGAGATCACAGGTTGCAACTTGTAGGCAAGGAGTCATACATGTTGATCTTGGTGCCCTTGGATCCAAGTTTCTAGACATTTAAGAACATGGAGCAGACAGAGTGGTGAGAAAATATATTTTTATCACTGGACTCAGAGACACTGAGAAACTACACATTCATGGAGCTGATGGGGTGGCTGTGTGTTCCCAACAAGATGAGGTCACTGGTAGAGGGTCTCTCTGCAAAGGCAGTGATGACAAGCATTTAAGAATTTTGGCTGTGGTTGTCTGAACTGTGCTTGGTACCTGTGAATTCTACACAGTAACGAAACTTCATAATGTTTGATTAATTTAGAGATCCTGGGGCCCAAAGATTTCCCAGGGCAATCTGGGTGGATCCTAATCTGATAAGTGTTTATTTTAGAAGGAGGCAGAGTGAAATTAGAATCCTAGAGAAGAAGGAAGTGATGTGAAGGCTGATGTCAGGTGAACTGTTCCAGTCTGTGGAGATGCAGGAAGAGGTCACAGGACAATGAATGCAGTTCTAGAATCTGGAAAAGACAAACAGATGCCCAAATGTGAGACTGTTCTGGCTATAGTAATAGTGTACCACGGATGGAGAAGCTGATAAACAGCAAACATTTTTGTCCGACAGGCCTGGAGAATGGATGTTCACAGTCAAGGTGCCAGTGTGGCAGGGAATAAAACCTTTATACTACTCTGACATAGCATAAAATGGAATAACAATGAGATGTACTGAACAAATGACAAAAATACCTCACGTACTGAGAGGCAGTTTTTTTCTCTGTGTGTGTGTGTGTGTGTGTGTGTGTGTGTGTGTGTATTAC